TTCAGGCAACAAAACTACTTGGTTATGGTCAGGCAGCACAATTACTTGGTAATGCTTGGGCAACATAATTGCTTGGTCATGGTAAATGGTTTGCCTTAAAACACCTAGCCGTTTACAAGTGTGTCACCGTCAGCCCCTCTGAGGTGTCAGACTAACATCATGAAACGGATCGGACCGAGTGATGGTAATCATACAATTTGACTCTTTCATTCCTTCTAAAGAAAAGACAAAAACACAATCGGAGGGATAATTGCTTTTGTCACGTCCACCATTCGTGTGGCTTATTAAGACGGGAGGAGTGTCTGTGTGTGAGAGAGACAGTTGACGTCATTAATGCCGGGGTTTAATTCTGGAGACTCCTTGAGATGTCAGGAAGCATGTGTCCACAGAGATTTAAGAGGAGACAGAGAAGGATAAAAAAAAGAGTAAAGTGTCTGTCTTTCCTCATCTTTTCATCTTTTCTCCTCTTTCTCTCCTGTATTTTTTCTCCTCCTCTTCCACTTTGTCTCTCGCTAGCTTTTTACTTTTCTTTTCTTTTTCCTGTCTTTGCAGTCTTTCTTGATTTATCACTGTCAATTTGTTTCTCCTTCTCTGTCCTTCCTGGTCTTTCTCTTTTAATTTCCTGGACCCTACCACTGTGAATCACAAGAGACATTTTGTTATTTGTTTCAAATCCCTTCGAGGTCAATAAATCTCCATCTCCTAGGCCTTAACACTCCGGGTCGGACAAGAGACATTTTGTAATTTCAGTCGTGTCGGTGGTCATTTGCAGGTAAACTTTTGATTGGACCCATATATACCTCATCTTACTTGATTATGAGCAGTATGGACTTTTGAACCTAAATTATTAAGTGCTTCTCTAATAAATGCACCTGGCAGGATGAAAAAGAACCTGTGAAGAGGTATTTTGTTTAATATATGCACTACATTGCCAGAAGTATGTGGACAGCCCAAAGAAATACCTGGAGACCAGAGTATTAGTACACCTATCTTACCTTAATTTTCAAAGATAGGAAAAATTATTCTATTACTAAAGTAATTCCTAAACTCATAGCTGTGTCCTGTTCAAACTCAGACCTCCTATCTAACTTTAACTTAAGAAATCCTGAATAAAACTGTTAATTTGACATACATACATACAAACATACATACAAACATACATACAAACATACATACATACATACAAACATACAAACATTCATACAAACATACAT